GCGGGCTCAGCGCGGCCGGCATCGCCCCGGCCCCCGTCTCCCCTGCGGCTGCTCCCAGCCTCCCCTTCCTCCCCTTCCTTCTGCGGGTGGCAATGGGTCCCCCCCGCCGGCCCTCCGGGTGCTCCCAGCGCTTCCCTGGGGACAGGCACCCCGGGACGGCCATCGCGGGGACATTCCCAGCGCGCGGGGCGGCCACGCTGCCTCACCTGCGGATCTGCTTCAGGATGTAGTCCCTCGAGATGTACTTGATGTTCTCCTCCACCACGGAGCGGACGCCTTCCTCCTCCGCCAGCTGCTTCTCCAGCCACTCCACGAGGTCCTTGTTGCTGTCCCACAGATAGGCCTGACGAGAGAGCACGTGTCACCCACCAGCCACCCCCTCAAATTACCGAGCGAATATGGCCAAGGTTGGCTAAAATACTCGGCCCACTGCCCTCTGCGTGGCTGCCACGTGGCCCTGCGTCCTCCTCCACGAGCAGCCCTGGCAACAAACCCCGCTTTGCTCCCACAAGATCCTTTCGCCCGATATTTGCTAGGTAGTTGACTACATAATAACTCAGGAGTGTGTTAGACGCCTAATAGCCTTCTCGCTCCTCTCTTCTCCTCTCATTTTCTTTACAAATCATTTAAGAATCGTTTTGTTAATGGCTTCCGGAAAAGCAAGTACCACCATTAGCACTCATTCATATTTATGTCATTTTATTTGGGTAATTAAACACAAAGCTCGTCATTTAAAGGTGCACTATCCTTCTCCGTTATCACTAACGGAGTCCAAGTCGGAATGACAATGAGCTCCGGGGTAATTCCGGAGGTGGCTCTGGGCCCGGGCTCCAAGGGGGCAGCTCCAGCCCCGGAGCCCCCGGGCTTCCCGACTCGGGAACAGCCGGGATCGGGATCGGGGCGGGATGAAGCTGCCTGCGTAGGGGGGAGGCACTGGCAGTTGCCGGCCTCACATCACAGCCCCTTTCCTTAAACATAGTCTATAGGATTGACTCAAGACAGTGACGTCATTTCGGTCTTACCATTTTGCTTATTTCATTGTTATTTTTTGCCTCATTGTTGTTTTAAACTTGTTAATTTCTGCTCCTTGTTTCTGCCCCTAGACATGACAGAAATGCTCCCTGCATACAAAGTAGGGCACGTAGGAAGATTTCAGGGAAGGGAGAAAAGCCCAGTAGCTGCCTCATGGTTGCAGACCTGCGTAAAGCTAGATTTACTCAAGAATCCCAAAGCTTTTAGTTTAGGAGAATATTTAATACTCTTATTAATCATTTTTAATCCGTTTGCTTTTAATTAAGAAACAGCATGATGCTTTCCTATCAACATATGCCAGGGAGCAGATTAATTGTGGCTTAAGATAACTCTCCTTGATTGGTGTAATGTATTAGCTAACGAGATGCCCGCTTTTAAAGACACTCAGACACTACCTTGGAAAACTGCTGCCCTCCAGAGAACGCTCCCCCCTTCCTGCTTCTGGAACCCCGGAGTGTTTGTGACTTAAAATACCAAAATAAAACAAAGTAAAGGACTCAGATTGGAGGATTGCAACAAAAACAACCTCAGAGCAGCTCCAGCGATTGTTCTGCAGAGATTGCCAGAATTGGAGCATGATTAAAAAGCGAAATCCTCAGCAAAACGATCAGAGGAGGAGGGTGCCGAGACCCCCCTTCCCCACCCCGGGGTTAAACCCCAGGGCTCCGCGTGGCCGGGGCGCCCTTGGGATGGACGGGACAACGTTCCGGCCCTGTGAGCTGCTCCCATGGCCCTGCGGTGACACCAGGGCAGCCCTGGGGACAGGGCACAGCCGGACGCGGTGCCCTCTGGAAGCAGCAGGACAGCCAGATGTGGCGGGCTGGCTGCACAGCTGCCAGATGTGCACCTGGAGCACAGGCAGCGCATCCCACCCGCCCTTCGCGGCACCAGCGGGAGAATGCAAAATTTAGGACATCATTCAGAAAGAAATAGTATTTTTTTTTAAAAAAACAACTGCTTTCATATCACAGAGGATCCCCAGGGCCAGGCCAGGCTAGCACAGCTCCTTGGGGACCCACAGCCGCTCTGCAGAGCTGCTCTAGGCCTCCTGAGCGCAGACACCAGGAGATGGAGCCTCCCAGGGCCGCTGCGGAGCTCGTGCTGCGGCTCCCGGGATTCTCCGCTGCACCTCTGCACACACAGACCACCCTGCCCTGCAATCCCGGGAGAGCTGCTCCCCTTCCTTCCCAGGCCCTCGCACTCCCACATCCACAGAGCCACATGCCTGGAAAAAAAAACTACGGATTTTTTTTTTCCTGGCCTAATATAAAAAGTATCTCAGTAAAGCTACTCATGACCAGGGAAATTGCCCACAAGTTCTTGCTCATCATCTAAAAGAGCCCTCTGACATTATAATTAAAAGACAGACCTCAGCGTCCTCTTGGGAGGACGTCATTGAGCTTAAGCCCAGGAAATAGAACTGCTCTGGAGAAGCTGCTTTTTCATTTACCTTCACGGTCCCTTCAACTTCCACAAACCAGCGCCTCAGCATAGCCTGGATCTGCCCATCAGTCAGCTCAGGATTGGCATCATGGATCTTCTTCTTGACCACGTCTTCTAGCAGAAGGCGTCTTAATCTCCAGTAGAAGAACGTGCGGGAAGTTTTCCAGTCTAGAATGTCCTGCCCAAGACATTGGGTGGAGGAGGAGAAGTGAGCAGGGACGTTTTCCACGCTCGGGGAGGAACGTGAGCACTCGCACGCTCAGTCACGCTGCCTGCACGAGACGTGCAAAGGCTCCTGTCCAGGAGCTTTGAAGGCTTCCACGTGGTCACATCCACTGAGCCCTTGACCCAGTGTGTGGCCTCCTTTCCCCTGCACCCTGCTACAGGGACTCAGCTCCCATGTGAGCAGAATGACCCAAGAAATCAGTGCTCAAGGGGACAGGGAAGCAGCAAAACCTGCAGCTAACGGGCCAAGGTTAAAACTCTGTCATGCGGGCTTGGCTTTGAGTGCTTCATGACAGCCCTTCCCATCACTGAGGGTCCACGGGCCGCAGACCCCCGGGGTTGCCGATTCCCGCTGGGATCGGCGTGTGCCTGTGCCAGGAGCCCACAGCGTTCCCGAGGGAAGCTCCCTGCTACTCACGGTGATGGCCCCTTTCTCCTGCATCCGGCCCGGCGTGTCGTGCAGGTCGGCAAACTGCATGGCTACCTGGTGGTAAATGGGAACGAGGAATTCCTCCCGTTCCTTCAGCTTCGTCTCCAGCTCTTTCCGATCAGCGGCGCTCAGCTCTGGCGTACCTGCAAACAGGCACAGCTCCGTGTCAGACACTTGCTCCTAAAAAAGATTAATGTCCCTACACGCAGTTCCTTTAACATGTAAAACCACATATACCAGCCCAAGTTTTCCTGTAGGCTGCTTCCTACTAGCAACTGTTACTACCACTGGCTCATTAGGAAAAATAAACAAGTTACTTAGGGATGCCAAAAATGCCCACGGAGCCCTGGCTTTACCAGTGACTGGCACACATGGGTTTTGCTCATGATGACAGACAAGAGGAAAACTGTGTCAAGAAGATGTCCTATGGAGTTCATAATTCTTAATTTACCTTAAAACGCTGAGCTCAGATAAAGTTAACTTTGGTTTAAACAAAAGCACTCATCAGAACAATTTCTGGTTAATGTCACCCCACGAAGGGCACTAGCAGGACTAGGTGGCACCAGGCCAGAATGACACCCACCATGCACAGGACGCTGCTGAGACCCGCGGCACCAGCAAGGTGCTCCTTACCCAGCTGCCTAACGTCCTAAACCAGGACAGCAGTGTTCAAAAGAGACTCATGGTGACAACAACCCAGCCACACTCACCTTCAGTCAAGCCCTAGAGAGGGCCTCCTCCTTCCTGTGCAGAGAGGGGCACGTTCAATGGATTGCTAAGAGCAGCTAAAGAGCCTAAAGCCCCTTTTTTCACTGCCTGCAGAGGGCTGGAACAGGCTGTAGTTCACAAGGCCTGAAGCAAGGGCAACTCTTTACTGATCTTGCAGGAATTTACCCCAGGTCAAAGCTGGCCCAGGGCAAGCATGGCAGGTTGATGCTGCTCGCAGCCTGCCTTAAACACACCCGTGCAAGGGGTGCTGGTGCAGAGACCTGGTATTTAGAGCCCACTGTGCTTCAGCTGAAGCAAAGACTGCAGTCTCTGCCAGAGCACAGAGCCCTGGATCCTCTGCTGACCGCTGCATCCCGCAACCCCCAGCCAGGCCGGGGCTGGGAGCTCAGGGCCCCGGGGAAAGCCGAGGCCGCGGATCCAAGCAGGGATGCAAGCAGGAGTGAACAGAGAGGACACCACGATGCAAATCCAAGCGCCGTGCCAGCCACTACCTGAAGAAGCCAACGGGAGAACGTGGAACAAAAGCTGGCGCTGTGCCTGAGCGCTGGACACGCTCTGCCTCATTATCTTGCAGCCTGAATATCCTGACTGTGTTTTGTGGTATGTGAGCACCACCAAGCTCTTTTTTTTGTTGTTTTTAATCTTTATTGTTTGCGAAGGAATGTCAATGGGATTAAATGCAACATCTATTGTAACATCAGCACCTATTGTTGAAGTGTCAGGCGCGTGGGCGGCTGCCGCGCGGGCAGAGCGGGACGAGCAGCAGCAGCACGGAGCTTGTCCAGTGGACAATGAGGAAGCGGGGCCCAGAGCCAAGGAAAGCCAAGTGCCTCTCAATAACCGCAGATAAAACTAGCAGGCAGGAGCTTTCGGAAAAAAACAGCAGCAGGGAGCACCTTTTCATGCAATGCATAACCCAGTGGTGGAAACTGTTGCCATGGGATGTTCTGGATGCCAAGAGCACAACCGGATTAGAAGAAAAGTCACGCGAGGAAAGTCCATCGTGGACATCTCGGGTGATGCCCGGCTCCTGCTGGGAGCACCTGAGAGCTGCGGAGCGGATCCGGGGCCACGGGAACGGCGGGATCAACGGGAGCACCGCGACTCCCGGCGGGGCCCTGGGCCCGGAGCCCCGGCAGCTCCTTCCTTCCCTTTCCCACTCGGCACAGGCTGTGTTTGCATTTCCTTCCAATCCAGGACAGGCCTGGGTACTACCCACACACGCTTCCAAAAGCCCCGGGTCAGCTGGACAGCAAATCCTTCTAGTGAAGGAATGTTTTCATGCATCTCCCAATATAAATGTTGCCTAACCTTCCAAATGCTGCTAAGAAGCTTTTAATTAAGAGAAGCTACTCTTAGAACCTTCAGAATTAAAAATTATATGTATTTATCCATGTTAAATTCCCCAGCTCCCTGTTTTAAATGGCAGCGCGTGCACTTAAGGCGGCGACGCTCATGCATTCTGGCCGATCTGCCACCCTCTTGTTGTACAGCCAAACCAGCCAGGCCCAGTAATGATTTAGGTGAGATTAACAAATATGTCAATGTCTATTTTCTGCTTAATTTAAAAGCAGCGTCTATAAAGATTTTTGACTTCTGAACCCTGTTCTCCTGAAAGAAAGAAGGTAACAATGAGGAGGGGGGATAAAGAGTGATTATCCCATCATCGATCGTTTGTCAGGAGCATTTCTTATTCACTGGACTATTGTAAAAAGCTAAGCTCTCGATCAATCCTGTAAGCCCCCTGTACAATTAAATATCTTGGAATGGTTTTCTTTCTTTTCTAGTCAGATCTTGAGGCCTCGGGGTTTTTCGGGAAGCTTGGGCTTTATTTATTTATTTCGCAGAAAAGTCTCCCTCCACAAATCTTAGTCTGGCAAGAAGAGGGGAGCTAAAATATGGGATTCCTTTGCTCTAAAGGTACTAGATAGTTAATGAAACTGCTGAAGTTTAAATCATAGGAGCGTTATAGACCTCTGCGTATGGATCGGCTCCTGATCGATGGAGGGACAGAAGCAGCAGCCCCGGGAAGCGGCCGCGCGGGGACGTGCCCGGCGCCCGGGGGTGGTTTAAGGTGAGGACGCGACGGCTCCCCCTCCTTGCAGGGGACACGGGGCCCTTGTGCGGAGCGGCCAGGCCAGGGGACGTCCTGGTGCTGCTTCCGTGACGCTGCAGGGCGGGGCAGACCAAGCGAGGCGGGGGCCC